TTTGGCTGGGTATAGTAATCTGGGTTGGCATCTGTGGTCATTTAAAGCTGGAAGTACTTTGGTCCAGGCTCTTCTGGCTTTCCTAGTTTGCACTGAAAATCAGCTCTAATCCTAATGGCTTTTCCTTTATAAGTGAGTTGTTGTTTCTCTTTTGCAGCTTTCAGTTTTGTCTCTTTGTTTTGTACATTTAGTGTTTTTATATGATGTGCCATGGAGAGTTTCTTTTCTGGTCCTGTCTGTTTGGTGTTCTATATGCGTCTTGTATTTGTATGGGCAGGTTTTTCTTTAATTTTGTGAAATTTTCTTCCACAATTCTGTTGAAGATCTGGTCCATGACATTATCTTGGGATTCTTCTCCTTCCTGTTTGCCTACGATTCATAAGTTTGGTCTTTTTATAGTGTCACACAATTCCTGCATTTTCCATTCTTGTGATTTCTTAAATTTTTCGTAATCTTTGCTTGAGTGGTCTAATTCATCCACTTTACCTTTCATCTTGATACTCTGTTTTCCATTTCATTCATCCTATTGGTGAGGCTTTCCCCTGTTGTTTCTAATTAGCTTACTGAGTGCTTGACTTCCTTCTTCATTTCAGCCTGGGTAGTCTTCAATATTTCTAACTCTTTTCTGAATTCATTCAGAAGTTTACCCCTATCTTCCTTCAGTTTTTTTTTTTTATTTCTTTGTGTGTTTTTTAAATTCCCTGAATTCTTTTATCATGTTTATAATTGTTATTTTGAGTTCCATTTCTTACATTATCTCTAGGGGGTTCTCATTGTACTCATCTAGAGGACTATTTGTATTTGGTGGGGATGTTATTTTGTTTGTTTCATGTTATTATTTTTTCTCTGTGATTTTGACATGTGGATTTCTTTTGTAGTTTCTGATTCTTGTGTGCAACTCAAGCCTTCAAGTTTAGGTCTGCTTTTTTTGTGAACTTTATGTGTCTTTGTGGTTTACTTTTTGGGCATGAAAAGCTGGTTCTGCAGAGCTTCTGGTTCTCTCTTTCGATTTTATATTGGAGCGGCCAGATTGCTTTTGTCTTCAGGAGTTACCACAGAGGTCCAAGTCAGATGAAGATCAGATGTTCTCAGGCTTCCTCCTAAGGTCTGAATCCCTCCAGGAAAGATTTTGGACTCAGGAATTTGGGTGTTGGACTGGCCTGGGAGCCTGGCCCAGGAAAGATGCTGGTCTAGGGCAGCTCTTGGCCATTCCACCCAGATATGCAAAGGAAGATGGGGTCGGGAAGCAGCCCCAAGGTCCCTTGAGGACTGCACTGAGGAGCTAGTTTGGTCTGGATGCAAAGGATCAGGAAGAGGAAAGGTCAGTCCTGGCGTCCAGGAAAGAGGCTGATGGGTCATGCAGGCCCAGGGAAGTAGAGGGAGGTGAGGGCTCGGCCAGTCCCAGAGTGATTCTGGTGACTGGAGAAGGAACTGAGTTGGTCTGGATGTAAAGGATCAGGAATTGGTGGTGGTTCCCCAAGTGTCTGGGGTGCCAAGAGAAGGAATGGGACAGGTCCCAGGCTTGGTAGAGAGATGGGTGGTGGAGATGGGAGGGTGAATAGGCTGGGGGAGTCAAGTAGTGGAGAGCATGATTGACTTACCCCATAGAGAGAAGCCTGTGGATCCTGCAGGCCCAGGGAAGCAGAGGGAGGTGAGGGCGGGGCCAGACCCAGGAGCACTGCTCCTGTGGCCAACAGAGGGCACTATGTTCTGGATGAAAAGGATCAGGAAGCAGTGGTGGTTCCCCAGGTGTCTGGGGCGCCAAGACAAGGAATGGGACAAGACCCAGGCTAGGAGGAGAGACAGGCAGGGGAGATGGGCTCTTCTGCATTCTTTATCTTACTGAGTGATCACTGAGGAGTGATACTTCTAAAAAGTTATTCATTGTTCTCGACCTTCTAAAATTGTTTTCTGTGTTTAGTCCCCAAAGAAAGAATTGATCATTAAGCTAAAAAATTATTACACATCTGTCCATATCATTTCACACAGGTTTCCTATACAGCCTTTTCAAATGAGAGACAGTTTAAATATCTACTTTCTCTTTGCATCCTGAGGAAGCATATTATTTTTGCATTCTGAATATATTTTATTGTTTTAGGGTGTGGGATTTTTTTTAAATAAAAATATTCATTAAATTTGAGAACTGGAGAAAACCTCAGATCAAATTCCTCAAAAAAAACCATGTGAAATCACTTACCAGGTGTTCAGAAGTTTATAGTACAAGTTAAAGGGTAAGTCAAACTGTAACTTGGTGCTTAGAACACATTTGTTGCTTAGACACTTTTGTTTTCAAAAGGGAAAGCAGTTCAGTAGGGTTGAGATGCATACAGCTCATGTTCTATAAAATTGTGGTTGACTTTTAACATTTGTTTATATGTTTTCTTTTTACCGCTTTGCAGTTTAACAGCAATGCTCAGGATGTAAGCTGTTTTCAGCACCTTGTCCAAGCAAATGTAAGAAATAAGAAGGTGTTGAAAGATGCAGTGAATAACATCACAGCAAAAGGAATAACAGATTACAAAAAAGGCTTTAGCTTTGCCTTTGAACAGCTGCTTAATGTAAGTATCAATGATATGCCATTTTCTTTTATTATTGAATTATTGTATCAGTAACAGTTCCTATTCTCTAAGGTTGGATTGTAGTGCTGCTTTTAACTTATTTAGAAAGAAGTGTGACAGATGAACACATTCCACACATGTCCAAGCAGGAGAAATCTGCGAAATGTTCATTTGTATGTTGCAAAAGGAGAATTCTTTCTCAGAGGAGATTCCTCAGAATCACTTGTTTAAATGACATGGTTACTGCCCCATGCCACAGCATCGGGCACTCTGACCTAGGACTTTTGAATGGCCATACCTTTGATTTCATTTTTAACTACTCAGAATCAAAGGGCACAGCTGAATTTTGTACCTCTTATGGTACAACATTTTTTCCAGTGTTTGAGAGTGTGGACCTGTCCTCTCTGCACTGTGACTCCCTTACTTACTCAGTGACCATTCCCTAGCAGGCACATAAGAGAGTTGTGGATAGAATTGTCTCGAGAGCTTGACATACAGCAAACCATATGAAGTATAAGTTGTCAAGTTGGCATTAGGTTGACAACCGTTTTTGGTTGGTTTTGGTTTGGTTGGTTTTGGTTCTTTACAATTAATGAACAGCCATTGTTTTTACAACTGCCCATACTCCCGCTGTATTTTCCGAGTCTGTATAAATGAACCTTTACATGCGACTTTTTCTAAATGCCTGAATTTTCTAGCCTCTGAGTGAATATTCTGAGCTGCTTTTGAGGTGTCAGGTTCATTAATTCATTCATTTTGTCACTCATTTTACGTTAGAGTTCCTCTCAGTTTTCTGTCTTGGTGCTAAGGGCATTGTAGAAGGAAACAGATGCATTCCAGCATATTTTTAAAGCAACAGTGCGAAGGGGCTGACCTTCCTGATGAAGGTTAAGAAGTGTATGTTTTCCTTGAAAATGGAAGTTTGCACAGTAAGTGGAACCTTAACAGGTAACAGAGAGAGGGAAAAATTATTCCAGGAGAGAGAATGGTCTGGACAGAGCAGAGGTGTGCAAGACAACAAGCACATTCAAATAGCTGCAGATGGTTTGGCCTGGCTGGGACATGAGCTATATGGTAAGAGATGGAATGGAAAGATGGTGTATAGGAGCAAAGAAAAATCCGTAGTTTGAGAATAGCATGATCTAGGTCAGGAAGTTGATCATGGGATTGGAGAAGTGAAGAGGGTAAAGAGAGTGACATAAGAAGAACTGGAAGGTGTTGGGGGGAATTGGAGAGAGGGGAGAAGGTTAGTGGATGGAGCCTGTGTAAGTGTTCTAGTTTGCTTCTTTGTTGCTGTGATAAACACCATGGCCAAAAGCAACTTGGGGAGGAAAGGGTTTGTTTGGCTTATGTCTCATCATCATTTTATTTTCTGGTTTGTTTGTTTGTTTGTTTACTTTTAGATAGTATCTCTCTGTAGCCCCTTATAACCTGGAACTCACTATGTAGACCAGGTTGACCTTGATCTCACAGAGATCCACCTACCTTTGTCTGTTCAAAACTGTCTCTTCAGAACTGCCACCATGCCTGACTTTTTGGATGGCGTGTTTGTTTGTTTTTGTCTTTTTGAGACAGGGTCTCCTTGTAGCCCCAGCAGTCCTGGAACTCACTATGTAGACCAGGCTGGCCTCAAACTCACAAAGATCCACCTGCCTCTGCCTCCCAAATGCTGGTATCAAAGGCATGCACCACCACACCCGGCCTGTTTATTTGTTTTGAGAATCTTCATTCTTAATAAAGTTTTTCCTCCAGTCATAATAGTTTCTCTAAATCTTGGCATTTTAATGATTTTTCTTAATGTTGTTCATTTGGCTCACCATCATTCTCTCTTGCTAAGATTTTAGCAATTTGATGCTTAAGTATCTCAAGTCTCAGAGGTTATGCCGGAGGCATCCTCAACAGAGTGGTCCTATGAATTCCCAGGTTCATTACCAGCTCCTGATAACACACAAGTCAACTCCTGTACCTTCTCCTACTGCTTTTACCCCAGTGAAGTGATTTTTAGTGACTCTAAACCTCATGTGTTCTGTTTTCAACTCATCCCATGTACATTCAAAATTTTCATTCTAATAGCTTCACTCAGTCATTGGCACACTGGGCTCGGACCTGCAGCATATGTTGTTAACTACTTCACACACAGCTGTTATTACCCCACTGTGCATTCTCTTCCTTCCATATGTCATGGTAAGATATGCCTTTAAAATCAGTGAATCGAGTGGAGTTTCTATTCTAGTAAACCACAATAAACGTTCCTTAGCCCTCAGATAGCTTTTTATAAAGTATTATTAAATATATAGAGAATTAGCAGTTTGTATTGAATGCATATGTATATGTATACATATATTGTTATGTATACATATATTGGCCACACACGCAGATATTGCAGATAAAGTATTTCCTAAAACACCACAGTAAATTTCAATTTCTTCTACTCACAATGTTACTGAAATAATTATCAATTTTTCTGCTTAATTTGTTAAAAATTAATATATTAATTTTTCTGGTTGTGTGATGCTCTCTGCAACCACAAACCCACAGAATATTTGCTGTGGTGTATGTCACTCTGTCACAAATCCTGAAGTGGATACTCTTAGGAATCAATTGAAAATAAAACATTTCTTGATTTCTCCCACGCACTGCCATTTTTGCATGCCCTAACATTTCTTTTTCATCAAAAGGTTATTATTTTGTTTATACACGTATACAATAAAATGTGTCTTACTCTTTCACTCATACAAAGCAGTCTTTTCAGGTATATTTTATTTTGTCTATTTTATAAAGTCATATAAAATGACAAATCATCATCAGAAAAATTTCTTTTAGTTAAGAGATTTTAGGCATTTTTACCAAACGTAGTCAGATGATATGTAACTTTTTGTTGAACAAATTTTCAGATAGCTTATCCTTGAAGATGACAGATGTGTTGGTCAATACTTAGGTTTCCACTCCTTCATTAATGGCTTTTGCTGCCAGTGTCCTAATGGACCAGTTGGTGTGATGAGAGTATATGGGGTGTGAGCCTGTCACCTATAAGTAAAATGTTCTCATTGATTTTTATACTCAAAAGTGGGCTTTATCTTCCTTGAAAAATAAGAATATGGCACATCATAAGCCTGAACGTGAAAGGAAAATTAATTATTAAAAAAGTAATCAATCATCTTAAAGCCAGAGCAGATTACCTCAATCCACGAGGCTCTTGAGTTTAAAATGGACATTGAAATTTAGAGATGCGAATACAAGAACATAATGCATATGTCCTTGCAAATTTGATAGTGATTTCATGTTGAAAAGATGGTAATTTGGATTACTAGGTTAAAGGAAATATATCAGTATTCTGCTTAAGCAATCTATTGGAAAGAAAATTTAAAATTTCACAGTAAGCTCACCTTATACCTCTTTTTGGATAGCTCTAAGCTAGAAGGTTGATATTTTCAAAGAATTTGAGAATTCATAAATTAGTTTGATCCATTTTTTTCCTTATCATTTAAGCAAATACATTTCAAAACAGTAGAAAAACAAAATTCTAATTTGATACCTTAGAGGAGTCAACTTTCTGAATTAATCGATCATTTTAATGGCCCTTTGGTACTAATTCATTATTTTGTATTCAATTCTTTTTAAGACCTTAAAGTTTAAGAATATTTATCACTGGAATCGAGTCCTTCAGAATTGGAATCAGTGTGGTAGGTAAAGAGAAGACAGAGAGGTTGAAAGGATATTCAGGGAATGGGTCTCAGCATATAAAAAGTCATGAAGGAGCACTGTGTGAGAGGAAGCCTGCCAGGAGTTTATCATCTTTGAAATGTAAGGTGAATGAAATAGAATGACCATAGAGGGAAGAGTGGAAAAAATAGCTGGAAATGGATTCAAACCCTATGTGGAAAACTATGAATCTTTTAAAGTCAATATTGTTTGTTTCTGCTATAAAATTAGATGTGTATGTTTTAAAAGCATTTATCCAATCAAAATCCAAATACTTTTCAATCACTAACTTATTACTATATGCCAAGCAATGTGAAAACATTACTGAACAAATAAGACGGTTTCTTATTTTTATGGAGTTTGCATTCTTTGGTGAGAAAACTAATAATAAACAAAATGTAGACTTCTGTGCAAATTAATGTACAATGCTATGAAGAAAATGTAACCCAGGAGGCATATTACAGTTTAAAACACAGTGATTAGTGCTGGAGAAATAGTTCAAGGGTTAAAAGCACACACTGCTCTTCCAGAGGACCCCGACTTCAGTTCCCAGCATCCATATCAGACAGCTTGCAACTGCCTGTGACTCCAGCTCCAGGGGATCTAATGCCCTCTCTTGGTCTCTGTAGGCACTGTATTCACATTCACATACCCATACACACACACACACACACACACACACACACACACACATTCATGTTATACATAATTTTAAATTCTTTAAAATTCAGTGGTCTGGGATAGTGTTACTGACAAGGTGACATTTGATGGAATGCCTGAAAGAAATGAGTGGTGATATCTTTGACTATTTGAGTGGTAAGGGTTGAACCTGACTTGATCATGAACTTGTTGGAATATACCACTGAGGGCTGGAGAAATGGCATGGCCATTAAAGGCTAAATCTCATAATCTAAGCATCAAGAGTCTACTACTGAACAGCCATTTGCAGTGTGTGTAAACTATGCATGCTTTTTTCATACTGGTTTTCTTTCCCTATTTTTCATTATGAGTGATATACATATATGCATGTTTTTTAACAGTATAATGTTTCCAGAGCCAACTGCAATAAGATTATCATGTTGTTCACTGATGGAGGTGAAGAGAGAGCCCAGGAGATATTTACCAAATACAATAAAGACAAAAAAGTGAGTGTAATTTTGCAATATTTTAATTTTAATATATAGATAATTTTCAGAGAAATATTTCATGGTGATGGTGATAAGGGGAATATTTTTTCTTCAAAACTGTCGTCCACTTTATAAAGTCATATTGGTTATGGTGGTGTTTGGAATAGAATATTTTTTCAGGTACTCAAGTACCTAGCTACTAATATATTGGTAAAATAGTATAGACTTAAACATCTTCCTTGGCTGTTGTGCATAATTCTAAATAATAAAGTGTTAGTGAAGGAGAGAGATGAGAATAGTTTGAGAAATGGAACCATTTAAGCCTTTCTTGGATAATTTTATATCATTTAATCACTGAAAATAGTAATAATAAATTTATAAATATTTCACATATTTCTATAGATAATGTTTATGTGTGTGTGTGTGTGTGTGTACAAAAAACAATTCTCAAGAGTAAACAGATGCATTATGCTTGAAAATGGATTCAAGGAAAGACAATACAGTTATTTGCTGGTATAATAATGTAAAGAGTGGTATTCCCCAAAGTCAAGAAGAGTGTAAAGATTAGTGTTTTGTATTTGGAGTACATTTATTTCAGGGATTTTGTGACTGCAAGAGGAAAGCATTGCAGTGAGAGGGACCTAACTGAACCATTCACACTGGGGAACATTATCACTGTGTCTATTAAAGTTGTGCTTACTTTCTCCAGGAGTCCTGACACCAGTTTACTTATTTTCTTACTGATTCCTATTTTCCTAAAATGCTAAAGAACCACTTTAAAGGATAGTGAGATGTTGTGATATATTTCTTGTGTTTTTAAAAAGTATCTGTTAATCCAAATTAGTATTGACTCCTTCAGCTTTCTGGTTAGCTGGGATTATAGGTATCCATGACTTTGCCTGGATTTTCTTTTGCTTTTTTTTTTTTTTTTTTGGAATTTTTAACATTTGGCCACCAATGGCTCATCAATATGGATCATGTTATGTCTATTTCAGGAATACACATGAATTATACTACACATTAAAAAAAGAGTGAAATAGAGCTGTAGAGATGGCTCAGTGGATAAGTGCACTGTTTCTACTCTTGCAGAGGACTCAGGTTCAGTTCTCAACACCCACATAGGGACTAACCAGTGTTTGTAACTCCAGTTCTAGGGAATCCAATGCCCTCTTCTGACCTCCACAAGCACTATACACATATTGGTGCACTTACATATATGCAGGCAGTGCACTCATATACATAAAAATAAATAAGTAAATGATCAAAGCATGAATTAATATAATAAATGGCCTACTAGACAAAATGTTGTGTATAGTAGGCTATGTTTCTGGTGGAAATTTTGGAACACTTTGAAATACTCTTAGATTTTTGTAGCCTATATGCATTTAAAAATACATATATAAGTAAATAAATAAACAAAATCTTTAAAAAAGTGATTAGAGAATTAAAACAATGTACACAAATATAACATTCTGTTAATAGCATTTTTTTAGTCCCCCAAACGTATTTACTAATGAACTCTTCAGATACTACATGTGGTAAAATGTATACTGTTCGATGCAAGGTTTATAGTATGCCTAAAATCTGTTCATTTTAATGGTATAGAGAAACCATCCATCCATAAAATGTTATTAAATGAACTAAGGTGGTCATAGATTGTAATGAATTTTAACTGATATTTGATTCTATGAGTAATTAGAGAAAATTATCAGATAATCTATAGGAACACATTATTGATTTTGTAAGATAAATAAGTTCCAAGCAGCTTATTGTAATCGCTGTAAAATTAATGTATTATTTTCTCTAAGCTTTATTAAGAGAGTAGATTTTCTGTCCCATGTTTTTACCACAATAAAAGAACTTAAATATATTAAAATATAAGGCCTTAAAGTTTGTGAGTGCTAAAAAAAATCAACAATTATAAGATCTCAAAATTTGTGAATATTTAAAAAATAACTCTCAAAACTACCATCTTAATTGTACATTTCTCTATGTCTCTGGAATTAATGTGGCTAATGAATGATTTGTTTGCATTCACTTTACATCTTGATGAATCAAAAGTCATTCATAGCTGCCCAGGTAAGTGTGAGGAGACATCCAAATAGCTGATGAATGCTTCTGCAGATGCACAACACAATTTAATGAAGCCAAAATATGTAAGAATGAGAAAGAAATGTTTGGTTTCTTTTGTGGAACATACTACTCTTGGGAATTAATTTATCTGATTATAGATAGGTAGAGCTTTAAAACTGGATCCTTGCACAGCTATTCCAAATTAAACTTCACATTCAATCTTTACCTGTAGCACTGCCATTCCTTAGGGCTCACCCATGTGCATGAAACCACCTTAAAAATGGTGCCAAAACCAAAACGAGCTCTGTCACTGAGAACGAACAAATGAATAAAGGAAAGTGAAACCAGATATACAGTTGAAAGATAATTCTCAGGACTAGTGCAATTAAATGTATTTGCTTTTCTGTAGACAAAGGGATTGCATAGCAATGCACTTTTAAGACTGCCTAGCCAGGAAGAAAATAATTTTCTCAGGCTTACCTTAATTTTCAGAATAAAGAAGGCAATAAAAATTAATAACATGTAAGTGCAAAGGATCTAGAACAAATTAAAAATTTAGATGTGAACAAATTTTCAAAATAAGGAATGCTTAGATAAAGCTCTCATCACTTGACAATGCCTTTGTTTTAATGTATTTGAATGAATTTACTTTTAAATATGATTGAGAACTCCTTTCTATATTGCCATCAGATCTTAAGTAGAAAGACATTCTCTGTTGTCTATAGCAGTCTAAAACAAGTCACAAATAGTTGAATGTGTTATGGTTTTAGACTGAATATTGTCTTTTGTTTTCAACAGACAGAGGAAATAATTTACAGAAATCATTAATTTCATTCTCTACTGCCTCTTTGCCTTGCTTCTCCATCAGCCAAAAGTGTGGCCTTTGAAAGGAATGTTCAAATATTGATAATGAAGGGTCATATAACTTACAAAATATAGAATGATATTTAACAATTATACTGCTTCTAAAATCTTTTTTTCTATATATTTTTGTACTTTCAACCATTTCTGAGATTTCAGCTTTGGAATAAGAACTATATCCCTTTGTTTATAAATCCAAATATATTGTTTATGCTGCCATCAGAAAATAGTTTAAGTAGTACTGGCCCTCCCTTTGGAGAGATTATCTGTTTAAATGGCATGTTTTATGCATATGCATATGCCTTTGTCCTAGAAATCAGTAGCTTTGCATTTATTTCTCTTAAAATAAATGTTGACAATTTATTCTTTACACTATGAAAATTCTTACCAGACACATTTTGTCCAGGTTTGTATAAAATAACCTTCAAGCATTTTACCATCTTTAATTTAATATCTAAGCAAATCTCATGAAAAATGAAGTTATCACCTTAAGCACAAAGTATATAATATAGTAAATAAACTTTATAGTGCATAGAGTGCACTTGAAATAATTTTAGACATGTCAACTTGGAACTGCTAATCATTCATGCTATGTGAGGAGAGGCTTTTGGTCTTTCAATTTCCATGGTTGCCTTCTGTTTTGACTACAAACTCTGCTTCTCTTATTATTTCTCAGAGGGGTCTCTGCCCAGCGCCTCTAGAATTATCTTTTTGCTGAAACATCTTTTGTCACTCTGTTACAGCACCTTATTTCCTTCTTGCTTTCACTTCCCCTGCTGACCATTTTTAATCATATGTTGACTTTTTATCTTGAGCCTCTATTTCTTTTAGAAGCTCCCTGAAATATCCTTGGCAAATAGCAGAGTGTTTGACCCAGAGTAATTGCTGGATAATTACAGATATGTTGTTTACTTAGTGAATATGCTTCTAAAACAGAGTATAAGAACAGCACACATTGAGGCTGCAGAGACGGCTCAGTGGCTAAGAGCACAGGCTGCTCTTCCAAAGGACTGGGTTTCAGTTACCAGCACCCAGATGGCCGCTAACAACTGTAACTCCAGAGCTCCAGGGAATCTTCTGGCCTCTTCTGGCCCTCAAAGGCATCACATGATGTGGTACACATAAATACATTACATACGTGCAGGCAAAACACTCACACATTTAAAATAAATAACAAATAAATAAATGTCACACATGGAAGAAAACATTTCAGTTTTTTGTTCTTAATTTAAATAAATATCTTTTTCTTTATGATTGGAATGTGGAATAAAATCCATAGATGTTGCACTCTTGCATGCATCTTCTTATGAAATTAGGGAGGCGTCTATTGACATGTGAGTATCTCGATGGTACTTTTTCACCCTGATATTTCAATATACAAGGTTGTTTTAAAATCTCATCATCAGTGTTGGTGAAGTATTTGACATTTTCCAAGAAGAATATTTGAAATCAAACACCATAGGTTTTACATTCTGAACTCGGTTGATGATAATTTTTAAAGAACTGCAGATTACTTGAATTGCACTGTGCTCCTAGCTTATTCCTCCTTGATCAAGTACAGTAAATCATTCAGAGAAAAGAGTAACTGAATCTTTGCCTTTTAATCTGATAACATGAAGGTGATTTATTATAACAATGTGCTGGATAGCTTTAGTGTCAACTTGACACACCTGGGTTGAGGAAGCCTCAATCGGGAAATTGCCTCTATTGGACTGGCCTGTGGCCATGTCTGAGGGGCATCTTCTTGATGAGTGATGTGGGAGGGCCCAGCCCACTGTGGGTGGTGCCACCCCTGGGCAGGTGGGCCTGTGTTGCATAAGAAAGCAGGCTGAGTAGAGGCCAGGAGAGCAAGCCAGTAAGCAGCGTTCCTCTATGGCCTGTGCTCCAGCTCCTGCCTCTAGGTTCCTGCCCTGAGTTCCTACCTTGGGCTCCCTGATGAACTGCATGCGACCTGGGAGATGTAAGACAAATAAACCCTTTTCTCCCCAAGTTGGTACTGGTCAGAGTGTTTTGTCACAGCAATGAAGAAACAAACTAAGTCAAACAATTAGTAAAAGTAAAGCTCCTCTATAATCCCAAGGCAT